AGGGAGAAGCAGGGTCCCTGCTGAGCACGGAACCCGATGTGGGACTCGATCCCAGGATGCTGGGATCATGACCTGAGCCGAAGGCAGATGCTTAACCGACTGAGCCACCCAGGCGCCCCTCATTTATTTATTTTTTAAAGTAAGCTCTGTGCCCACTGTGGGACTCGAACTCACGACCATGAGATCAAGAGTCGCCTGCTCTTCTGACTGAGCCAGCCAGGCGCCCTGCAACTTATTTTTTTCATTCTTAATGTATTGTGGACATCTTTCTATGTTGTTATATGTAGATCTTCCCCTTCCTTTGAAATAGCCACGTAGAATTTATCACTCATGAGGGTGTTTGGGGCTGCAAATAACAGGAAACACAGTGCCAACCAACTTCCACTATATGACATCCGTTGGATCGAGTGACCAGGGTCAAGAGGGAATGAGGACTTCGGGGCTGGTGTAACCTGGGCTCCAGCCCTGCTCCCCTGTGACTCCATACGCCTCTTTTTATTGGCTTCCTCACCCTTCTTGTGTCTTCCCAGGGCAGCTCCCTTTTAAAACTTTGCCCCAAGCAGACAGAGGTGGAATTGGGACACAGGCACATTCCTGGACCCATCCCCGTTGTTAGGAGATGGCCCAGGTTCTGCACTCACCGTCGGCTAGAGAACAAGGATTGCCACACGACTGGTGTGGGCCAGTCAGGGCCTGCCTCGGCACTTCGTGCTGCAGAGGGGCGTGGAGTGAGATGGCGAGGCTGCAGCTTCTTGATTCCTGCTAGATATTTAGGGTTTTAACGCCTACGCCTCAAGCTGTCATGAGCATCCTTGTGCATCAGCCCAGTCACCAGACAGACTCTGAAGGGTCCTCTGTCCCTGCTCTTGCTATCTGGAGCTTCTGTTGGGCACCTACCAAGTGCCAGGCATTGGGCCAAGTACTTTCCAAAAAGTGGGCCTTTCTGAGGGAGTCCAAGAAAAAGCATTCTTTTTCCCTGCCTGCTTCTGAACAGACTGAGAAGTAAAACAAAGAGGGGGCAGATGGAGACCCCAGATCTGGCCTCTATTACTGATAAAGCCCGGGCTGGAGGGTGTAGCCTGGGGCAAAAGCCCGATGGACTCAATCATGAGGCAGATGTGGATCATTGTGTCCTCCACGCCCCCCACCCGCCCCATCCTGGTCCAGCAGGAAGCCCACTCTCATGGGGAAAAAAGGAGCACCTGGTTGTTGATACCATTATTGTCCTCATTTCAGAAGTGGGAATGCCAGCACTCACCATTGTGAAATAACTTGCCCAGAGTCACACCGCTGACGAGTGCAGAGCTGGGACTTGACTGTCTCTAGTGAGTGGAGGCTGGCTCCAGCAGACTTCACTTGTGGTCTTGGTTCTCCCTCCAGACCACACTGAGCAAATCCCCCTTCCTGATGGCCCCTCAAGGGACCCTGAAGACAGTGACCCTGCCCATCAGGTGTTGTCAAGGGTCTCTGGTTCCTTTCACCCCATGTTGGTTATCCAGAATGCTGTCCCGGCCCCCTTCCCTGGGGACCTCCCCCACTGTAAAATGAGCCTGTGGGCCTCAGGAGCCCTGAGGTCACAGCTGATTTCAGTTTCCAGACTGGTTCTGGACAGCTCCCACTTTCCCACCAGCAAGCCCTGAGTGGATCTGATAGACCCTGGTCTCAGGGTGCTTGTCCATAAGAAGAGGTGGTGGGGTGGGGGGTGGGATTTTCTCCCCTGCTAACCCCTCTGCTTACCTGTTTCTGCAGGTATTGCTGACTATATCCCCAAGGATGGAGAAACCATCGAGCTGAGGCTGGTTAGCTGGTAGCCCCTGGGCTCACCCACACCAGCAGCCTGGCCCATTGCTGGGCCTCCGCCTTCCCTCCAGACATCGCTGTAACAGGCACATACATGCCCAATCCTGCTGCTACCTCATGTGTCCTTGGAGGAGTGTCCCCTGGATTACCCAGCTACTACCCTTGCAAAGGTTCTCAGCCACCATCCACCCTGGATCAGGGAACCACGCATCTTCCCTGGGAGGGCTGTTGCTCGAGTCTGGCCCCGCCTGGCCACACAGGCATTCCTTGAAGGCCACTCATAGTCTGAAGGGTCCGAAGCATCTCAGACTCCTCAACACAAGGAGGAGAAGTCACGGCCATTGGTGTTGTGAGTACTGCCCCCTCTGGGATTGGGGTCCTGCAAGGAGACCTGTGTGGCCCAGGGGCTGCAGTCCTGACCCCAGCTCTCTACTCCGGCCTTCAGGGCGGTGGCCCCGGTGCTGGCCTTGGCAGAGTGGCTGGTGGGGGCTCTGCCGAGCTGCTCAAAGCCTGCCTCTGAAATGATTAAAGTGTTGATTGTGCACCTGCCCTGGTGTCCTGATGCCTCAAGCTCGTGACTGAGTACAGGGGGCTGGAGGAGGAGGAGCTCCCCTGGGGGCGCAGAGGAAGGTGGGGGGTGGGGGGGTGGCTGCATTCTCCTGGGGGCTGGTAAGGAGCAGTGCTGCTGATGCCAATGCTGATTACTGTTTAGGGAACATAGCCTTGCTGGATGCTTTCTCGCACAACTCTTGAGGTTGTGGATATTTTTGTTTTCATCTCTACTTTACAGATAAGGAAATTGGTACTCAGCAAGGGCGTGTGACTCACCCACAATGTCAGGCAGGGGACGTGGCTGAGGAGACACAGGCCTGGCCTGGGGTGGCCTCCTGGCTCTTCCACGCAAACACTGAAAATTGGGGGGCTTCCATGGTTGTTGGGATTACATGACAGAACCCAAATGTAACTGGAGGCCCAGGAGCCTAGAGCTTTTTTTTTTTCCCCAACACACAGTCAGGGTACCACCCCAGGCCTCAGCGGCCAGGGGCCAGGGACCTTGCCTGTTAGTGGGAGGGCCCTGAACTCTGGGCTGACCTCTGGGAAGTGGAGTTCAGGCCAGGGAGGCACCTCACATGCCCCACCTCACCAAGGTGAGGAAGAGGGGGGCCTGCCCTCAGAGGGGCTCTGTGCTAGACAGTGTGTTACATAGATACCTCTTCCTAGAGCTCTGGTTTCACATATTTGGGGTCTGGACAGGGAGGGGAAGTAGATGATTTAAAAAATTCTTATATTGAAACAAACATCAGAGTATCAGAAAGCCACATGAAGACACAGCCTGTTTGGAAGGTGAAATGTCTGTGCCCAGAACCCCAGAGGACTTGTTCACCTGTCCCTCCTTGATCACCATCAGGGGTACTTCTCAGAGGATTCAGAACCTGCTCCCTGCTCTGTGGTTCTTCTACAGTCCTGTTGAAGAAGGGTGGAGACTCAGGGGTCTGAGGCTTGCCTCAGGTCACATAGCCTGGAGGCGGCCGAGTCCAGACCCTCTCCCACTGACCTCAGCCCCGAGGTACTTGCCACCACAGAACCCCGGCTGTCTCCTCGCCTGTCGTGGAGACACCAAGTGAGGAAGCCACAGGCCCCTCCCACAGAGAGGAGACTGGCAGTGGCAGGTCTAGACCAGGCTAGAGAGAGAGGGTGGACATGAACGACAGGGATGCCCCTGCACTGGGCTTTCGAGGGCGCACAAACTGGGTGTTATCTACCCTCCAAAGGGACTATTTAGTCAGGGTGTGTTTGGCTCTGAGGAGCAGAAAACTACTGAATCCTACTCATATCAAGCCCACCAACTCAGGGGCAGCCAAGGGTGGTAGGGAAGCAGACGTTGGGGCTCAACTTTCCATCACCTCCACAATGATCACTAGTCTCTGTGTCTTTCCCCCGTCAGCTTCTTCAGAGTGTGGCCCCAGCAGTGACTCTGTCACCTTCCAGTTCAATTCCCCAGCCCCCTCTCACTTCCTCAGCCTGTGTCCCAAAGCCTAGAGAGGGGGTCTGCCCAGCCCAGCCTGCTTGTGGATTCTGGGCCAGGTGTCTAGCCTGCTGTGGGCTGCTCTGGGCTTTTGGATGGACCCCAAGGACAGCAAAGGAGCCCCCTGCCCCCATTTTTGCACAAGGGAAAATCCTATGGAGAGTCTTGCTGTCTACAAGTCAGGGCAGGTTAAAAACTGGGGCTCTGGACCCAGACAGACCTAGTCTGAATCCCCCACCAGCACTCAGGCTGCACAACCCCTGCTTTGAGCTGTGCCCTCAGCCTCTCCCTTCCCCCTCCACCGCAGTGTGGGCAGCTCTCTCCATCCCATCATGGCCCACTCAGGCCTCATCTTGAATAATCCTCTAACCCACCCCTTATCAGGCAGGGCAGGTAGGAGCTGTTTTGTGGCAGTCTTGGAGGAGTTGTAAACACTGCCTACCACTCCCTGCTAGCTCAGCTCTGAGAAAGTCAGGGTGTTTACTAGTTTTTAAAGTATTATTATTATTATTTTTAATTAAAGGAAATTTCCTGGAAAACTGACAACATCTCAAAAAGAATATAACCCTTAGGGGGCACTGATTCCTCTTCTTCAGGAAGTATGGGGGGAGGGAGGTTGCCCTCTTGGCTGGCTCAGCTTCTCTCCCACAACCCCTCTTGGAGAAACCCTGTCTAAATACCCCCTTATTTTAGTCCTTGACCTGAAAATCCTTTCCCCTACAATTTGGACTATTAAGCAGCTATTTGCAGGCTCCAGCAGGCATCGGAATCACCAGAGGCAAATGTAAAAATGCAGATTCCTGGGCCCACCAGAGAGCGTCTGATGCAGCAGGTCTCCGGTGAAGCTGGGGGCGGGTGTCGGGGGTGCGGGGGGTGGGGGGTGGTGCGGTGGACACAGACGGTGCTAATCCTTGTCCAGGGATTATGATGGGGCTTGAGGGGCACTTGTCATTCCGAAGTCTTACCACGAGGGGGCGCCGCGGACCGAGCTAAGTGGTTACCCTTTGCGGTGTTGTTCCTCCCGACAAGCTGCTGTCCTCAGGACTTGCTGGTCAGACAACAGGCTAAGGGTGAGCCGTGTTCCGGTGGGCAGCTTCCGCAGGGAAGGAAGCCCGACGTCAGGAAAGAGGCTCGCAGTTGGCTGTGGGCACCTACCTGCGCCAGGCATTGCACCTTGGTTCTTGCGCACTTGGGTTCCGGAGCTCAGAGAGTCCAGTGTCCAGCCTGGAATCCGAATCAGCTTGTTCTGCTCTGGGATGCGCGGTTTCCCCAACCCTGAGCAAAGAGAGCATCCGTCGTTTAGATGGGAAAGCAGAGACCCAGACAGGGACAAGGGCTTAGTGGCAGCTGCTCTGGCTGCCAGCCCACCCAGGGCTCTCTGTCCTGCTAGGGCTGGGGGCAGAGGGTGGACCCCAGGAAGTCCAGCTATGAGTCAGTTCTGAGTGCCCAGGGGACGGGACAGAGGCTGCTGGCCAGGGATAGATGCTGGCTGGTACCCCGCTTCCACAAATGTGGGTGGCCTTGGTGATTCAGTTTCCCTGTGTCTGCCTAGAGGGGGCCGGCCCCGGGCTGGGAGAGGGAGGAAGTGCTGGGAGTTAGGGAGGGACTATGGAGGGGCCTTAAGGGGCTCGGTGGTCCAACTCGTCTGGATGCTGAGGTCCCACGGAATAACTGTGGCCAGAGATCGGGTGGCCCCGAGACTGGTCCTGGGATGAGCGTCCCTGGGTGGGGGTCTTTGAAGATGCAGTCCCCGGTGAGGCTGGGGGTTTTATTGGGCTCCCTCAGAAAGGCACCTCATTGTCCCCGCACTGCATAGGTCTCTACGGGGGGCTTGCCTTGGCGCTGGATGTGGAGGGGCCTGATTCCCCACTGCTAGGGGAGAGGGGACAGGCAGCCTGGCCACTCCAGCTGGGGGGCTCTGCTGATGGAGGGACTGCTAGGCGGATGGAGGAGGGGCTGTGAGCGGGCGGCTTGGGGGAGGAGCGAGACATCCCTCCCGGCCCCGGGGGCGGGGCCTAGCCAGGGGCGGTGCTGGGGGCTCAGCTCAACTTTCCGGGTGGGGCGCGGGCGGTGACGGTGGAGGCGGGGCCTAAGAGCGCGGGGCCTCGCCCGCGGGGCCGGCCGGGGCTGAAGCCTGGCTGGAGCTGCTGCGGGAGCCGGAGCCGCAGCCGCAG